TTATAAAACAAGAACCCTAGCAACATGTATTTATTAAGTTAGTTTTTTTTTATAATACGAGAAATTAGAGTTTATCACTTGCAATGACTAATGAAAATTTAAAAACTAGTCTCAATTTTCTTTTAGAAAGTGTGCTGCACTCGAAAATCGGAGCAAGATTTTGGTGGAAGTAGGTACACATTCACCTAATATTGCCTATACTATTATATTATTTTCGAGTCAAGCGTATATAACTCGTAATTTTAAACTTGGGAGTGCATACTGCATTTCGGTACAAAACACTTACAATCTGTTCCGACGATTTTATTTTTAATTCGTGTGTCATTTCCAAACGCGTTCGCGATTTTACTGGCGCCGCGAATATTCCTTAAGGGATATAGTTGCCTATAGCTGAATATTTATTATAAGTACTGTTAAATTTAGTTGTTGTGTCCAGTAAAAATAAAATCGAAATATCGGTGACATCATTGTGCACTGACTTATTATGGAGGCGGTGTGCCAACACGACCCGTTGCAGGACCCACGTGGTAATATAATATACTATAATATATTATGGCGGTAGGTTTTAGCTCGCAAGATCAACAAAACGCCACGTATAATTAAAATGATTTTATAATATGCGCGTGTGAAAACAAATTCAGGAACTGACAAATACAACGGAGTGTAAAAAAAAGAAAAATGTTATTTAAAGAAACCACTGCATGTGTTCCAATGTGTTCGGAAATACGTGTATAATAAATATCGCAATATTATTAGGGTTCAAAAACCTTTAACGACAGAATTTGTAGCCATTGAGACGATGCATAAAATGTATCTAATACGTGCAATAAAAAAATTAAACTATATTTATATTCCTTATTAATAATTATTATAAACAACAATACAATAATATCGTTTGAGTTCAATAAAACCTATATAATAAACACGTAGTTATTTCGCTATTTTTAGTTTAATATAATTACGCAATAAGCCAATCGTGAAATTATTGTCAACCGCTTTTCTAATGGCACATTTTGATGGTTTTTTTTAAACAAATCGTAAAAAGAATACGTGGGCCCGAAGACAGGGTCTTGTGAAATTGTGAGTAAATTTGAATTTTTGTTACTATTCGTGTTTTATATTAATATATATATAAAAGAAATAGAACAATTTACTTTATGTAATATAATATAAGTTAATATTTATCTAATTGTTTTTAATAATATAGTTTATAATTTGATTTTAGACTCTGAGTTTAGCAAAGAATTTGTTGGTTTTACAAAGATGTTTATTTATTTTTATTATGTGAACACTTTTTCTACCAGGAAGCTTACTCCGATTATTAAGTATAGCATTTTTTTTGAAAAGAAATATTCTCTTGTCGGTACTTTAGAGAGGTCGTTTTTTGAAATTCTCATGTATATTCGAGATAATGAGGAAAATCGGGTTCTTTAGATTAAAAATAAAAATAATAGGTTATCATTGGCAACCGTTTTTATTTATTTTTGTTATTATTAGGTTTTTATTATTTTAATCTTTTTTAAACAATCATTGTTGTCATGGAAACGTAACGCACATTTATCATTTTACAATAACCATTTACCCTCATGACATATATATTGTTGACAAAGCAACCCCCAGTTCAACTGAACTCCGCTCAGAATCGTTTTTTCGTTAGCAATGATTTATTGTTGCTTACAGATATTCATTGAATTCCCGTCTCTATCCTAACTCTATCCTTCCTAACTTTTCACCTACAACAGTGGCTGTACCCACGTGTAAATTATGTCCGTTCTTATTTCGTTTACTTCTTTTTATTGGTATAGCAAAAAAAAAAAAAAAAATTACCTATTACAATTTTGATAAATCAAGTCATAATATTGTCACATCAAATATGTACTCGTTATCCTCACTTAATAGACTGTTTACAAAAACAAAACGGAAAAAATTAAATTTTATTACAAATAAAGCCGCGACTACTTGTACACAACGACGCGTATCAAGACATTAATATTATGTGTGTATAGGTAGGTACCTAATTGCGCGAACGGTTTCGCGTTTTGTATCCGTGTCGCACGTCGTCCGCGCACGCGCAATAATTTTACACGACCCGGGAAAATGTAACCGCCGGATCAGTGCCCGGGGCGGTAGGTACGGCGCCGCGGCGTTCCGCTGATGCGTTTACGCCCGCGGTGTGCCCGCGTTTCGTCACCGCCGCGCCGCGCACGTTTTGGGTTCGTTATATTATTATAATAACAATAATATTGTATAGAAAACGGATCCCCCACCCCTCCGGCCCAACCGATGGATTATCTTTACGCGTGTAAAGCGCGAAACCCGCCGCCGTCTAACTGCGACCCTTTTTATACGCGTACGTGTGTCGCGCAAGTAGATACCTCCTCCTATGTTCAATATCCGACGCCGAGTGTAAAAGCTCGACATATTTTAATCCTTCGTATTATTATTATTATAACATACAGCGTGCGTTCTATCGCCGCCCCGGGGAATATTAATAAAAACTCTCAGCGCGCACCGGACTATATACCTATATACCGTAATAATAATAATAATAATAATAATAATATACGAGTACGTACACGACGTATTGTAATATTATAATACTCATACGTAATGTGTTTTGCGCGCAGTAACGAGCGGTAATCTCTCCGATTCGATTACAGCGAACCATACGGTTCCCGCGGTATTACTATTTTATAAAGACGTCTTGTTGTCTTGTTGTAACGCAATATACTCGCGTAATAGGTTCTTGCGCGCAGTCACAACCGTCGCCGCCGCCGCCGGTCGACACGATACGAAACGCCGCGGCGGGTTTATCCTCTTTGAGCCATTGCCGCGAAGTTTGCATAGCTGCTCGTCGCGTCCTCTTGTTATTTTCTAAGCTCCTCGGACACGGCGGCGGCGTCGCGGGGGGGGGG